ATATACACATACACACGTGTGTATGTGTATCAACCCTTAAGTAACCCTAATATACACACTCACCAGTAATTTTCCAAGTCAATAAAAATCTGAAAATCCATGTATACTTCATTATGTTTTATGTTGCTTGACCTTTATCTAACACAAGGGGTGTCAAACTCGCAACATCACGTGTCGCAACATATCACAACTTTTTTGCCATTGCTGGCAATGGGGTGGGTGCAGTTTCGTTATGATGCATCCGGCCCATGGGCCAGCAGTTTCACACCCCTAATCTAACATATTCTGGCTGATCCATCTTCTAATGTGATCAAGTATTTTTTTTCTAATTTCACTGATGGATAGTTGCAGGTTAAAAATCTAAAAATCTTAGAATTCAATCCATTATATTACATTGCGGTTTCACTATATCTGCATATTAGGTCCTATGAAGACAGAGTGAAGGGTTAGGTATATTTAGCCTACTATTATAGAAAGTCTGATAGCAACTTTAACTAACTGTAAGTATGGTAGTAGTGACAGATTCTGCTCTAATATTGAGATAAGTACAGTTTAAAGTTTGAACTGATAAGCAGGTAAGGACTAGACTTCTTTGAATATTTGACATGGGATATTTTAATTTAAATTCCTCCAATAAGCAGAGAAATGACCAGTACCAAAACTGTGATTTTATGTATAAAGTTGTTCATTAATTAATTATTAAATTTAATTAATTAATAATTCTATTGATGTCCACTGCATTAAGGATAATCTTACTGTTTGGATGACACAAATACTTATTTGATGCAGTGTTGGTTTTTTTTTAAAAAAAGTTAAGGAAATCCATTTTTTTAAAATGCATTTGTCAGATTTATCTTATCTTTTTTCAGGTACTCAGGTGGTACACATAGGATTCTCTTAACCTATTTTCCTCATAACAGCACTATGAGATTCATTGGACTAAAATAGAATGTCTGGCACCAACTAACTCACCTGATAGGTTTCCATGTTTGTAGATGAACTTTTACCTGGGTCTTAGTCCAGTCCAACAATTTAATTTTGTCCCAGCATATTACTGAATCCTAGCCATTATAGCATTATTTCCTTATCATGACATTCATTGTTGGAATGAACAAAAATATGCAATGTGTAGAAAAGGACTGTGAAGTAATGAATACAACACACTGGGAAGTTAAACTCTGTCTACTGTGGTTGCATTTTAAGATGCAGTGATAAGTTGTTAAAAGTTACATAAAGTTGTTGAAGAGGGAGTTTCTTTGTTTTTTCTTTTCTACCCCCCTCTTTTTTTCCCTTTTGGGGGGATTTTTTAAAACACGTTTTAATATTTTCTTTTTTAAAATGCATTTTTAAATTAGGTTCTTGCATTAGTTTTATCTGTTTAAAATAATTTCTGATTGAAAAAAAGAATAAAAATTCTACATACGCCAACACAGAATGTACATTAACTGTGTCTCCCTATATCTTTCTGTTTTTGGTTCTGCTATGTCCGTATACTGCTTGGTCTTCTATACTTTTAACTTTCTTACTTCAGCTCCAGTTACTCCAGTTCTCTTTCCTCTTGACCCATTCATTTGTACCTCACTTATTGTTATAAATGGATATAAAATGTTTTGCTTTGTTTCATTCAGTTTTTCCTTCACCAGGTTGATACAAGACAATTTCCTAAACATTATCCTTTGTTTGCTGATAGTCTGTTTTAGATATTAGATGCTATTGTTTATTTTAAAAAAACAGTTTTCTATTGTTGAATGTTGAATATTTTAAAAGCTCGAATGTTATCAAATTGCATCATGATGTGACACTTTCTGTCACTTCACAGAACAAGACAATAATAATGTTCACTTCACTCATTTTTATTTTTTGATCGATTGTAGGGTTTTTTCCGCCGGAGCATTCAAAAGAACATGGTTTATACATGTCACCGAGATAAGAACTGTGTTATTAACAAAGTCACTAGGAATCGCTGCCAATATTGCAGACTACAGAAGTGCTTTGAAGTGGGAATGTCCAAAGAATGTAAGTAGAAATGGTATCATTTGCTTTATCTTTCTGTTCAGATTATAGTGACATTCATGGGAATTTAGCTATTTAATTGGACTAGTTGAGATCAAATGTTGGAGTAAAAACATCAAATGTCTCTTTTTTCATAAAGCTGTCATCTACTGTACATTTTGTTGGCAGTTTTTGCACAGAATTTGGATAACTTGAATTCTTGCAGTGCATAGCACCTCTCAGTTGCTACTCAGTACTTTGTTACTAGGATCTTTATAATACGCAGTCTAGAAGAAAAATCATGTACAAGTATTTAAAGATATTTGAAAAGACAGTGGTGAGAAAGTTAGAAAACAAAGAACTACATATGAAGCAGTAAATGACACAGTAGAAGCACATACACATGCAAAAAATCCAGAAGCTAAGATCACTTTTGAAATTAGAATATATTAACAGTAAAAATGGAAGAGAAGCTGTAAAAGGCATCTCTTAGGTAAAAACAAAACATGTGCAAATGAAAATAGGTAACAATAAAAACTGTTAGCAAAAGAATGGTGAGTATAATCAGGTTTAAAAATGAATACAGGAGAAATGGCCAAACAAGGGTGTGTGTGAATATATACATAGTGACCCACGTGGCCTTTGATGTTGTTGCAGGATAAGAAAATGTATCCAATATATTTTTTCCCCCTGAATTAGAGTTACGTGATAGTTGCAGCAGTACAGAAAAACACAGACATTGATAACTGGATCTTTCTTATAGCAAATGCAACATTCCCATGTCAACACAATGGAATCAAAATACTCAATATGTCTGAGTAAATCCTAAGGTATGTTGAAATAGGAAAAAAAAACTTTGTAACAATCAACACCCTAAAACAAAAGAAAAACTGCCTTGTGAGAACTGAGCCTATTCAATGACTTGCAGAAATCCTGGAGTAAAAAGGATGGTAGAAAAGAATCATGAAGAAGACAGTGAGAATAAGGAGGATTAGTCTGAATTAGTATTGTAGTAATATAGAGAGAGATATGGTTGCTAGGAAAATAGATTGATAGTATGGTGCCACATTTTGGTTTTTTTTCTGTTTGTTTTATATATTTATCAAATAACTAATATTTACCCAATTTATGGATTTCCAAAAACAGTCCTGTGCCTGACCTTCTCTACTTTTAGTGGGTCAGATAGTGGACATTAAGTAATTAATTGCATTTTAATTCTTTTGACTGCCTACGCTTAAGCTTATATTTTTCTACACTGAGAATAAGAAATAAGCAAACTGTGACTTATATCAGAAGACTCAATTAAGTAGCTAACTTTCTTCAGTTACAATGGAACTTGTCAGTTAATATTCAGTGCTTAGATGTGAAAGCAAAACAGATAACAAACTGTTTTGTGTTTACAAGCATTAACCACAAAAGGAATGTGAAAAGTAAGATGCCCTGAGTGAAATAAGATATTTCTTGCACCTGCCACATGAAACAATGTTTATTAGAGCAGGAGTTTAGCAATTCCTCATATAAACTAGTTATTCGGTTCTTAAGACTATTGCAACAGAAATTTGAATTGTGGATGTTAATTGCACTGGGAATAAAAAAAAATAGCATAAAACTGAATAATAATATTATACTTAAGAAAGTCTGTGTAAGATAAGAGTAACATAATATTTGGCTATTAGAAGAAATACAACACAGGGCTATAAATGACATAATATTATGCATGCTTACCATAGAAGAAGTTTCATTGAACACAGTGAACTGTAGTATTACATAACATTGTATTGAATTCGTTTTCTTGGATTTTGGGAATCAAGGGTTTTTGACTTCAGTCTCATATCCTAAGCTATGAATTTCAATAGCAAATTATCCATTTCACAGAGAAAAACTGAGAAGGCAAATCACTAACAAAAATAAATCACATAAGAAACAGGAGAAGATAGGCCTGCAGTTGTCCAATCACATACCTGCTCTGGTGAAAATGCCCATTTTCACAGAAGTAAAACTAGGGATGTCTACAGAATTTTCCTTCGAAAAATAAAAACAAGCAGGCAGAATATTACACATCTCTAAAAAAAAGAAAAGAAAACACTTGCTAAAACATTTCAAAATGTACACTTACCCCTAAGGTTCCTAAATGACTTCCAGGCCAGATGGTGCTTTTTTGCAGGCTGCATTAGGGCTGTAGACTGAAAACTCAAATGTCTGTTTAAAATGGGGTTACACTTAATATAGGTGATTCTAGTGAAAGCAAGATTAAGAGTACAAGCAACTTAGATTTCTGTCCTTTATTGGATTGCTAATTACAGTTCATTTTATTATGAAGATGAAATTAAGTAATCTAGGGAACAAAACTGGAAGTGATGCTCTTAATATCCTTGTAACCTCGGAGTTAAATTAAAGAGTTTTGTAAACCCAAGGCTTGCTGTAGTTCATTCATATAATGCTAAATATATATGCTGTTCTTGATTAATCACCACCATTGGACTGGCAACTTGATTGTTAAACAAAGCAATCAGTAAGTGAAACTTCATGATTTTACAATCTTACTTCAGCATTCCTTTGGTTTACAGACATGTGAAGCCATAAATGCAAGAACATTACCTTTTCATCACTGTCCTACCTACAAATAGTTGCTAAAAGAGGCAATCACTCTGTAAGGACTACCTGTAGTATTATGCCTACATTGACCTCTACTTTCTCTTTAAAAGCAACTTTATTCCTTATTGAAAAGCTTGGGATTTTTTTATCTGTATCTTGTGCACTTATTGGAGGATTGTGTATGCTTTCTGCAACTGGGATGCTTGATTTGTTATGAGTACAAGTGTCATTCGCTGCACATAAAGAAAAAAGGTACTCAGAAAGCCATATAGGAAAACAAACTCACACAGCTTAGTCAGAGCCCAGTGGAAAAATTAATTGTAGTGGGCAACTAAAATAGAAAATGAAATGCCTGCTCATTTATTTATTTATTTATTTATTTATTTATTACTTTAATTTATACCCCGCCCTTCTCCCGAGGGACTCAGGGCGGCTTACAGGTAAATAAAAACAGAGCTATACAATAAATATCTAAAAGCCAAATTAAAATATATATTAATTAACCTGTATTAGAAAAATTATAAAATCCCTTTAAAATCCCTATAAAATCCCCCCCTAGGCCA